TAACTGCATCCCGATCAACACACTTTAATTACAAAACTGAGCCTCTTCCTTCTTTTTTGTCACTCTACAGTAATACATTGGTACCTCCCAAGCATCTGTCACTACTCATTTGAAAATAAATGATACAGTTGTATTACACATAGGAGAAAAATGTAAAATGTAACAAGCCACCAAGCACAGTCCCAGCTACAGAAAACTGATGAAACGCATGGAATCTGATTGTTTGATGTATGCAAAAGGTATCCAGCTGAATAATATATTTGATGTGTATACTGACGTCAGGCTGCATAAAGATGGTAGTTCTCATTCTCTCCTTTGCAGGCTCATCCACAACAGGTGCCTTGAGCCACGTTGATCAATGCAGGTTCAGCGCAAGGACACAGAGAGAATAGCTTTATTTATGTTCCCTCTTTGTACCACACAAGTGCGTTTGTGTGCATTAGGTACATTTGTTTTTAATTTAAAGGACATGTTTTGCAGAGTAAAATATACTTTTCCCTATACTTGGAGCCAACATGGGACACTGCAGCTGTCCCACCGATTCAATGGGCCATCAGCTGAGCGATTATGTAATCGCTGATTGCTCAGCTCACAGTCTTCTTCCTGCAGAGAGTGGTGACTGTCAGTCAGAGATCCTCACCTCCGCTCTCCATTCCTCCAGCACTCACTGGGGTTACAGATAGGAGGGGGCGGGCACAGCTGTCACTGGCTCTTGAGAGGCAGATCCAGCTGTCAATCAGGCAGCGGTGTGGATCCTGACAATATTGTGGAGTTCCTTCCCGACTGCAACGTGGCTCTGCGCTGTCAACATATAGCAAATGTACGCCTGTGATCCAAAAGAGTAAAGCCAAAAAAAGTTTGACTTTACTTCTCTTTTTAATAAAGTTAAAAGGAGAATTATGAGGCGAGGGATTTTCACTCACCTCATAGTTCTAGCCGACCTGCGACAATGAAACTGTCACAGGTCGGCTCAGTAGCTCGGGAAGTGAGCGAACACATACTGTCGCTCGCTCACTTCTCGATCCTGTCCCTGCAGAGAGCCGTGACCGTCACTCATGGCTCCCTGCAGGGATTCCCCCCCCCCTCCCCTGTCGGATCCTTCAGCGCTGACTGGTGGAACGGACAGGGGAGGGCACTGCTGGCTCTGCCTCTGGATAGGCAAAGCCAGCTGTCAATCCCGCAGCTGGGTGGATCTCGACAGTAATGTCGGGATCCGTCCCGGCTGCGGCGTCTCAGTATACCGTGAGCTGTAGCTCGCGGTATACTGCGCTTTGGGTCACGGGAGGACGCTAGTTTGTGTTCACCAGTGACCCCTAGGAGAACTAAATGGGAAAAGCCCTGACCCCATAGTTCTTTAAAGCTGAATTTGTGGAAAGAAAAAAAATGCTGTCAGCTGACCACCTCCATATTCTGTGCATTATTTGAATGAAAGGATTAAGGGCTATAGAAGTCTATGGTGCTGATTGCCTGAACAAACAACATACAGGTATCAGACGTGGGTGGCATACAGCAGCGCAGTGCTCACAGTGGGGTTTTCGTAGCACTGTATTTCAGAAAGAACGGCATGGAGTTAAATGTAATTACCATATTGTCTATACCTCCCTGCTACTTTCTGAAACAAAATTCCTGGAGTTCCGATTCTGGTCTTTAAAGCTGAACTGTGGCCACAAATACTTTTTATGTAAATATATTGCCCAATAGCTTTAGCCCTTACAAATGCAGAACGGACATGGTTGTGTGTAAAGCTATAGCAATGTGTTGGAAGAAGACAGACCCCCAAAGCTCCTGTTCTGGAGGAAATCTCTGAACTCTAAGTGTGCTGATACATTCCTGAGGGCCCATTCACACATACTGCAGTGGCCTCCGATTTACAGTACGGGATCAACGCAGGTCACTGCAAAGACACATAGACAACAATTGTCTTCTATGTGTCTTTCACACCACAACACAGGGGTGATGGGCACTTAGCTGTGATGAAATGCAAACATGCTGCATTTTGTCACAGCGTAGGGCACGGCAGGTCGCTGCATGGTAGCACAACGCACCGCGCTGCTGTACAGGGCCCTGAAAGGACACACTTCACACTGTATACTCGACATAAAGTAAAAAAAATAAAAATAATTAAACAGTGACAGCTGCTACAACTTACTAGCCCAGGGGTGGGCAACTCCAGTTATAGAACTACAAGTCCCATGAGGCATTGCAAGACTGACCGTTACAGCCATGACTTCCAGAGGCATGTTGGGATTTGTAGCTAAAGCACAGATGGAGGGCCAGAGTTGCCCACCCCCCACACTAGGTCATTTGCTAAAATGCAGAATTATAGGAGCCGGGCTAGCGTGAACAGGCCCTTATTGTATGGCTGGATAATCCTTATACTGCCGCCGACTCTAATCCCTAAAACCCCAATGAATGTATAATACCTACTTATACCTCGTCACTTATCCCCTTATGTGCTTCATGTTGTAGAAACTTGTGCCGACTGATAGGAAACTTTTTCAGGTTTTCTAAAACTCATCTGGGGGCCAGCGCTCCACCTCACAGCAGAACACGGTGGACATGACCTGATGGACATTGGTTTTACATGGCAGTCTATGAGACAACTTTGTATGAAGATGTTCAAGTGACACTAAACAACACATTCAAGTACCTTAGCTATTAACACAAATGTATCTTATTTGTGTATCACTAGGCTGTACATCCTCAAATCATCTCTGAATTCATGCGGACACTGTCCTTCCTTCTGGAGGGTGACTACTTTTGTTCCCCATGGTCCCTGTGTGTGTTGTAAAGTAGTCACCGCTCCAAACTCACTCCTGTGATGGACTACAATCTCAGTACAAATTAGTAACCTGAATGTGAGATTGTAGTCCATCACGGGAGCGAGTTTGGAGCGATGACAACAACACACACAGGGACCATGGGGAACAAACGTAGCATTCAACTGTGATGCCAATGATACAGCAGTGACCCCAGTGATTTGGATGTGACCCCCCCCC